TGTAACATCTGCTTGTACTGGGATGAACTCAGGGCCTCTTGCATGCTGGGTAAGTGTGCTAGCTGGGAGCGGCATCTCAAAAATTTATTTTTATTACTTCGTGTATGAACACCTAAGACAAGGTAGACAGAGTAGCAGCCAGTCATAGCTTTCCATCCAGGACCCTTTCCTTCTGAGGGGTCATGTGACATTGGGGTCCTGGGCGGAGGCTGCTTGAGCACCGTCCGTGCATAGAGCACCCTCCAAGGGCCCATACCTGTGGTGCACCCTCCACCTTCCGGCTCATGGTTTGAGGGGACATTTTATCACTGCAGAGAAGTTCTGGCTGCTGGTCATGGTGTGTCAGCAGTCAGGAAGTAGATGAGTGCTGGGTTAGCTCGCTTCCTCTCACTCTGTGGGACCCCAGGCCACCACATTCATGGTGGTCTTCCCTCCTGGGCTGAAGCTCTCAGAAGAGCTCTTTACAGACACCCTCTGAGTGTCTCTCATTCTAAACGTAGCCACGGTGGCAACGAAGCTGTGTTTAAGTTCTTCTAAAGACCTATCAGCCATTTTCCGGACTCCGATTTCTGCTGAAGGTAAACAAATGCACTTGGGTTGTCTTCCAGTCTTTCCCCCAGATTAGTCAATGAGAGCAGAACCAGCATTTGCTCCTGGAGGTCAGCTCCACGCCAGCCCAGAGAGCCCTGGTGCCTCTGAGGAAGGGGTGAGGGTAATCCCAGGCTCTAGACTTAGTCATCGAGGTGCGGCATTGTTGGTGGTGGCTGGCGTGAGATTGAAGGCTGCAGGCTGGCTCGGCCCAGTGACAGCTGTGTCACGAGACCCTGTACGTGCTGTTCCTTCCATGCGTAGCCCTTGTTTGGAAATATGGCTTCCCTGGGCTCAGTACGTGAGGGTAGTTATGGGAATGCCATCTGTCTCCCTCCACACTGCTGAGAGAATAAGTTTCTTCTGAACCTTAGAGCAGCAAGTGTGTTTTCTAGAAATTTCCAGAACACTTCTCTTCTGTGCTCTGGCTCAACTGGGTCACATCTCACCCCTGATACTATAGGAGGAGGATTTGTGCCTCTTGTCAACCCCACCCCACCCAGCCCTGAGGCCAGGGCTGAGTGAGCTTGAGTGAAGCTGCCTGGGCGAAAAGTGTGCCATTTACCAGGAAAGCAGGGACGTGAGACCAATGGCCTCATCCTATTTCACACAGGAGGAAATCAAAGCTGTGCAGGCAGCTGCTGGCAGGGGCCTGTTTTGGTTCCTTCCTGGCAGAGGTTGTGATCAATGGAGGTGGCTTTGCTGACTGACAGCTTCCAGCACTGACCAGCAGGTCGAAAGGGCAATGGGGACTGGGACTACTCTTGGCGCCTGGATTTAAGGGGTCCAGAGAGGCATCGGGGTTTCAGGCCAGGCATTTTTATTCTGCCCTAAAAGCCTTCCAGGGGGGAAGCGCAATTCCTCGGGGCCTACCTTTAATGGTTTCTTTTATAGACTCACTCATGTTATAGATGGGTGAACAGGGGGGAGGGGGCTGCTCAAGAATGCAGGGGGGCTAGATGATGAAAGTGGAGGGGAGGTAAATTATGGGGGTTGGGGAAATGTGTTTTCTTAAACATGAACTCTTAAACACCACACTAGCTCCCAGGACTGAGCCAAGCATTGGAGGCTGGGCGTCCTGGAGAGGTCTGATCTGCCCGGAGGCACTGCCTGACATGACTTCCCGATGGGGAGGGACCCAGGCCCTCCAGAACCGTCACTTTTGCTGGCCTCGCTTCTGTCACTGGACTCAGGGATGTAGCAGCTGCAACAGGGATGTGTCCCCCGTCCGTCCGTCCATCCGTCCCCCCACCCCAACTCAGGCTCATCTGGGGTCAGACTCTGTGCTGCTCTCTGTGGTTTACGATTTTTCAGGCAGGACGCTCAGCCTCTCTGATGCTGCTCAACTGTGTCCATCACCAGATGTGACATTAATGCTGTTTCTAACCAGCTCACCGGTGTTGGTCCCAGGGAAGATGGACAGAGCCCTCTTACCGTCAGGGCCTTGGGGCAGACAGCCCAGGACCTGCGGCTTTGTTTTGGAGCGTGACTCGGTGGTACTGTCCATCACGGCACTGGGGGGTGTGAGGCAGCTGGTGATACTCTACCCATAACCAGGAAGCAGACACAAATGGATACTCAGCATCCTTCTTCTTCATACTTGTTCCAGGACCCAGCCCACCCTGAGGGTAGGCTCTCCCAGGTTTATTTCCTGTGACTATCCAAATTGGCCACTACACCCTAGATGTTCATGTCCATACTTTCTAACTCTGGTTTCTGGGTCTCCAGGCCCCCATGGGGTACCTACCTCCTGTCTGTGCTTTTCAAGATCTTTCCTGCTGTACGCCCTCCAGTCTCTGTGGAAGAGAGAGGAGCATGGAGTCAGCCTCCTGGATTCAGACCCCCTAAGACACGGAACTGATCTCAGCTGGGTACCATGGTGGGAGGAGAGACTGTTAAAGTGAGAACATGGACCCAGGAAGCCTGGTCCCAGCCTAAATGTCCTCACTCTCCTGGCCAAAGCTTGTCAGTTCCTTCTAGGTCCTTCCCAGGCCAAGAGAGGACCTCAGGCTGCCAACATGGCCCTAACCTAACGTGACCTGACCTAACCTAACCTAACCCTAGCCCTGTCTCTAACCCCTAACCCTAACCTAACCCTCACCCTAACATTAACACTGACCTAACCTAATTCTAGCCCTAATCCTAAACCCTAACCTAACCCTAACACCTAAACCTAACCCCGCCCCCATCCTAGCCCTGACCCTTGGTTCCAAGAAGGGATCTCACACAGCATCTCTTAAGTTAAACTATGCGTTGTCTCCCATGATCCAGCCCCTTGCCTCAGGTTCCCATCTTTGTAAAGCCCTCGTGGCTTTAGCCAAGGATGTTCCCGTCTCAAAGACCTGTCTTTTTCCTCAGCTCTTTTACAGTTTCTCAGCAAATTCCTCCAGTTTCCTTCAAAGTACATCAGAACCTGCCATTTCCCAGTCTGAAACTCATTACCACTGCTGTGGCATTCTCAATGAAGAAAGCTGGCTGGTGGGCAAATGGGAACGCACGGGCTCTCGCTCCCTCTCCTTCCCCCCCTGTGTGTGTGTGTGTGTGTGTGTGTGTGTGTGTATGTGTGTGTATGAGTGGTGTGTGTGTGGTATGTGTCAGTGTGTATGAGTGGTGTGTGTATGTGTGTGGTGTGTGTGTGTGTTGTGTGTGTATGTAGTGTGTGGTGTGTGTATGTGGTGTGTGTGTGGTGTGTGTGTGGTGTGTGTGTGTATGGTGTATGTGTGTGTGGTGTGTATGGTGTGTGTTGTGTGTGTGTGTGGTGTGTGTGTGTATGTGTGGTGTGTATGAGTGGTGTTTGTGTGTATGTGTATGTGGTATGTGTGTGGTGTGTGTGTATGTGTGTGTGGTGTGTATGGTGTGTGTTGTGTGTGTATGTGGTGTGTGTGTGGTGTGTGTGGTGTGTGTATGTGTATGTGGTGTGTGTGTGGTGTGTGTGTGTGTATGGTGTATGTGTGTGTGGTGTGTATGGTGTGTGGTGTGTGTGTATGTGGTGTGTATGTGTGTATATGGTGTGTATGAGTGGTGTTTGTGTGTGTGTGTGTGTGGTGTATGTGTGTGTGTGGTGTGTGTGCGCGCGCGTGCGCCTGTGTGATGCCAGGGTGAAGCTCACGGCCTTTTGCATACTACACTCTACACTGAGCTAAATCCCATTCCAAGGCCCCGTCATATTTTTATTTCGAGACAAGTCTTTCATTCTCTCACATGAACTGAACTTCTGATCCTCCTGCCTCAGCCTCCAGGGTAGCTGAGATGACAGGCACCACCAGGCTTGGCTTCCCCGCCCCGATTTCATGTGACTCTTTCCAAACAGAAAGTTGAAATCGGCATCTTTTGAGAGGTTAAGCCTGCAGCAGAGGTAGCGGGAGGGCATGTGGGACGGGGCGCCCGCTTCTTTCTCGTCCAGGCTGACTTCCACTGCCTCAGGGAACCTTCCTAGGCTGTTCTGCTGTGTCAGCATGAGCTCTGGCTCCTGTCCTTCAGCTGGCCCAGTTTCAGGGCCAGCCCAGGGTCATTTTAGAAATCCCCAGCTCAGACTGGGCCTTGGTGGCGCTGGCCTTTAATCCCAGCACTCGGGAGGCAGAGGCAGGCGGATCTCTGTGAGTTTGAGGCCAGCCTGGTCTACAGTGTGAGTTCCAGGACAGGCTCCAAAGCCACAGAGAAAAAACAAATAAATAAAAAAGAAATCCCCACTGCGGTAGCTCTGTTTTCTATAGCCCCGCCATGCCCCAGTTTGGATACCTGTGACCAAGATCCACAAGCTGATGGCTCCCCAGGTAAAGGCAGAAGTCCTGTACCCATCTGTCACTGTCTGTGTGCCTTCCCTAGGCCCAGGAAGGCCCAGCCTGGCCCCTCCATTGCAGGCAGACCCTGGTGACGAGATGCCCTGTCCTGCACGGCCTAGCTTTCTCAGGGGCTCACGCCTGCCAAGAAGACCTTGTTCAGGCAAAATGCTTGCCACAGTCTGGAGGTGATCTGTTGTCACCTTGTGAGCCTGCCTCACTCTCCCGGCAGCCTCCTGGTTCCAGCTGTTCCCTCCGGGCCTTTATTTCTGCAGCCCTCCACCCATGCTGCCCCTTCCCTGTACTTGGGGCTCAGTCCTCACTGCCACCTGGTCTCTCTCTGGTGGCCTCTCCGTTGCCATCAGGCTTCAGCTACCACACTTACCTTCTTGACACACAACAGTTATGTCCCCTACCCCTTGAAGCCTGGCCAACCAAGTGACCCACTCTGGCCAGTGCTGTGTGTGTGCTGCGCTGAGACCCCTGCATCCCTGCAGCAGCTCCTGGAGATGCCCAGGTAGCCCATGCCAGAGGGATGAATAGCAGTGAGTGGTGGTGAGGTAAGGACAGGACAGAATGGTGCCCCCATCCTCCCCTGTCCCCACACCTCTGTAATGAACACCTCCTCTGCAGGACAGAGCATCAACCCCAAGTTGGCGGGCCTGATTGGGCGGCATGGACCCCAGAACAAGCAACCCTTCATGGTGGCCTTCTTCAAGGCCACAGAAGTCCATCTACGTAGCATCCGGTCCACGGGGGGCAAGCAGCGCAGCCAGAACCGCTCCAAGACACCCAAGAACCAAGAGGCACTGAGGATGGCCAGTGTGGCAGGTAGGCCAATGCGGGTCCCAGCAGCCAGAGGGGACCATATGTGCAATTGCATTGTGGGTAGTTCCAGAACAGATCAGCCTGTGAGCTGGGACTTGCCTGTCCAGCAAGCGCTTCTCCAGGACTCTTGTGACCTTGAAGCAAGTCAAGGCTGCTTGTGAGGGCTCCGTGCTGGCTCGGTCTTCCAGCTCCTGGCCTTGGGATTCTGAGGAAACACCCAGGGAGTTTGGGCTGCTTAGAACTAAGAAGTAAGGGCCACTAGGCCATTGCCTCACCCCACCTCCCACCCCTCCACTTCAGGGCACCTTGCATTGCGTATGGCTTCTTCCTCTTGTCTTGAAATTGATAGTCGTTTAATTTCTGAAGGGGAAGGTAGCCGGCTGTGGTGGTTGGACTTAACTGTTTCTGGGTGTCCCCCAGTGAGAGTTGTGTTAGAAGGACGCAATCCTCTTCCCGTGGCTTCAGAATTTATTATTAATTCAGAGGCTATGCCAGTTTCATTGGCTTTAATTCACCAAATACCCCCTTTCCCTTGGTAGACATGGCCACTTCCAATCATAGGTTTTTATTCCGGTCTTAAGTAGTAAGTCAGTCTTAACTACTTAACCATTAATGACTCAGCACAATTACACATGTGTAGCATGACATTACATATTCACTCAGGCATAACAGAGTGGATGGGAAGTGGTTCAGGAAGAGGAATGCTACCCAGCAAGACTGCCCTAAAGCTGGAGATGCAGAGCTGGCCTGACTGAAAGGAAAAGTCTGTACCCGGGACTGGATAATGGAGTCTCAGGTTCAGCTCAGGTCTATCCAGAGCAGAGTTGTCAAGTACAGATCTAGGTGAGCCTTGCTGTTGATCTGCAGGGGCTGAGGGCGCTGAGCAGGGCCTGGGACTGGGGCCTTTCCCTGTGGTAGTTTTCTTGGGCAAGGGTTATGACCAGTGGTCAAGTGTGCCAGCGTGTCTGTGTTGGCTGTTCCTTTAATCCTAGCCCAGTTAAGAGAGTTCCATCTGGCATGATGGATGGCTCGTTGCTCTGATATTTCTGACATAAGCTATGTTCCTAGATGGTATTGTTTATAGACACAAATGAGTGACCCGGAAGTCCCACTCTGGTGTGGCTGCTGACTGCTGTTTTACTGATATAAATACGAAGCAGAGTCCGACTGCCCCAGCATTCAGACTGCGCATTGAGCCACTCAGGGCAGCACAGGTGATTTGTAAAGCAGGTTAACTGTGGGCAAGGCACAGCCTGCAAGTCACCCAGAGTCACCTCCCTGCTCTGCCAGCATCCTGACCATGGGCAGGGACTTCATAAGCATGCTCTCCGCTAGGTGGGGCCTCTTATAGGCATCTCAAAGAAGTCTGTGAGCCCCCAAATTTAAAAAAAAACGGACTTCCTTCATATTTGTCAGCTTTATTGTTGTTGTTTTTGCTGGGATTGGAATTCTGTGGTAGAAGCCTAGACATAGAAGCTATTTGGGACAGGTAGACGTGATCGTCACCCTCATCTGTATGAGTGACAGGCCCAGGACTGGGCGTGGTGACTGGGTAACTCGGCTCATTGCAGGGTACAGAAAGAGTCCCTATGGAACCAGCCTGACCTTGCTCATAGCCTGGCCAGGCTGGCCCCACTGCACAGGCCTGGGATGGAGGAGGCAGCTGGAGCCACAGGTGTGGTGGGTGGAATCCTCTTGGAGTCCTGTCTTCCAGTTTGCAATCCATCGAACAGGAGTGGGAGTTTTACGAGTTTTACGGTTTCAGACTGTGAGTAGTGTAGGTGTGAGGTCATGAGGTCATGCTGGGTGCTCTAGGAAGGGTGGGCACAGCACAGGGTGAAGGAGGGCTCCCTTCAGAATCGGAAACTTCCCACAAGTCTTCGCAAACTCAGCTGGCAAGAAGCTCCGGCATGCCCGGTGCCAGCCGAGGCTACCTTGTCTTGTAGATCTGCATTTGCCTCCGAAGTGATAGGAATGCTGAAGGCTCTGCCCTGTGGAGTTCCACAGAACGGCCACTTCCACACCTCCAGGACAGGGTCCTCATGCTCTCGAGTGACAGCTAGTTCATCTGGCCCAGATTCTGCCTACTCCTGTAGATTTCAACTCCCTACTTTCGTTTTAAGTTCTTCCAAACCCTGCCTGGAAGTTTAACATTAAAAAAAAACAAAAACAAAAAAAACAAAAAAAAAAAAAAAACCAGGACTGGGGTCCCACCCTGGCTTAGTGAGGCAGCCTGTGCATGTGCGTGGGCGTGTGCCCAGTGCCTTTGAAGTGCTCACACCTCACATGATGGGCCACACAAGTTGAATCCTCGCTTGCACGCACATCATCTTTTATGTGTCCGGCTGGAGATGCATGTCCCAGCATGCCTGTGCATAAAAGTCTCTTTCCTGTGGGCCACCCCTGCCCCAGGGCTCCAACCGCTACTGTGATGTAGGCGGAGAACCTGCATCCCTTGTCCCCAATCAACACCCTGGGAATTGGCCATCTCTCCAGCTGACCCTCGGGGGTGGAAGCAAGTCTGAGCGCCTGTCCTAATTTGCCTGCTCCCTGGGCAGGGCCTTTCAGAGGTGGCTGTGCAGCGGCTGGTGGCTGGCATTGTGATCACTGGCTCTCTGCTGTACTGGGTGGGGTGGGTGGGACAAGACTGGGGGAAGGAACTAGATGTCTCCTTCATTCCCTTCCCTTGCTTTTCTGCTAAGGACCTGAGAATGCTGGGACTTCCAACCACCTTCTCCTGGGGTGGCCGCAATCCCAGATAGGACAAGCAAGGGCCCATCCCCCACAGCACACCCTCAGCTAGCTTCCAACATTAAACCAAAGTTCTACACTGGGATCTGCCCCTTCCCTGCACGTGACAGAGTGACAGACATGGCTAATTATCATGGCAATGTTCCTCATATCTCACTTCAGGATCTGCCCTGACTCAGGACTGGGAGCTGTGGGCAACCCTGCCCTAGTGATCCTACTCAGAACTCTACCTTGCTCAGACTGCTTCTCCCTGGGCTGAGGAGGTGGTCCACTTTCATCTTTCCTTCCCGCCTCCCCATAGGGAAGAGGGGAATGGGTCTTGTTGGGTGGGTAGTGCTAGCTGCAGCCCCTGGCTTTTCCACAGTGGTGAATGGCACCTTAAATATCTACTCCATAGCTATTCCAGAAGGTAGACCAGTTGTCCAGCTTTGTGGCCTGTGCTCTGATAATGCGCTGGTCCTTGGCAGCATGGCCTTGTGCTATTCTTGACCTCAGAGCTGTGCAGGTGGAATGCCTATGCATCCTGAGAAGCAGACTCTAAGGAATGTGTCACTTGTCACCAGATACCCTGTGGCCTGTCAGTGGACACAGAGGGAACAATCATCACGTTTGGGTGGTTGTAGGGTGTGTGGGGAAGAGAAGTCCCCTGAGTGCTCAGGCACCTGGCCTGCAGGGCTCTATAGTGTAGACCAGGGTTCCAGGCTTTATGGGCAAGGACAGACAAGGTAATGGAAAGCCCTAGGATGAGTCAGGTTGGGCAAGGCATTAATTAAGTACCAACTATTTATGCAGCTGCAGAGTAGAGGAAGATTCCATAGCTGTGTGTGAGGGACAGACAGACAGATTCCCAGTGTTTACAAAGTGCATTCTCCACCCCAGATGCTCCAAACTTCCGTCCTTCTAGAGAACCCAAGCACACTGTTCTTGTTCCATAAACTCAGCAGCTGCTGCTGGGGGCCGTGAGCATTGGTTTCTTCCTGGTGGTGTCCCCTGTACCTGCAGATGCATGAGCATCTTTGGGCTAACTTGGTGGGACCTCCTCAGAGTGGTCTGGAAGCAGGACAGTCGGAGCGGGACTCAGGAGGGGGAGGGCTGGGGCTCTACTAAAGGGCAGAGATGACCATGAAGGCTGCAGGTCCTCAATCTGGCTTCTGAGCCTTCGCTGCCCTTCAGCCCCCGAGTCCTGTGGCCGTTCCCCCCTGCAGATCCAACGGGACTTGAACACGTCTGTGTCTCTCTCTCATCCCTGTGTTTCCCTCTTTGTCCACGCAGAAAACAGCAGTGGTGACCAGAGGCAAGCCTGCAAGAAACACGAGCTGTATGTCAGCTTCCGAGACCTCGGCTGGCAGGTAAGGATGGTGGAGCTACCACACGCTGGGGCTTTCTCTGCCCCTGCCAGTCACAGGGCTGCCTCCATGGGTACAGTGTGTCTCAGGGTCCCACGTGTCCCAGACAGCCATTAAACTCACTGTGCAGCCTAAGATGACCTTGTGCTTGGATTCCTCCTGTGTCCACCTCCCAAGTGCTGCGATCACAGGCGTGTGTCACCGTGCCTAGTTTGTGCTGTGCTGGGAAAGGAACCCAGAGCGCCCTGTATTCTGGGCAAGCACTCTACCAGCTCAGTTCCAGGCCAGGCCACAGTTCTTGTCTGCTGGTAACATGTCAGATGCCATGAGCCCTGAACTGAGAGAAACACTTGGGCTGAACATATGAAGGCATCCATGATGGCCCTTGACATCCAAGGTGTGACTGACTCTTGGGCCAGAACTTGAAGCACCACACTCGTGCAGCATGACGGTGCATTTCCAGAGCTCAGAGAATAAATACCCTGACACAGAGGGTCACTAGCCTCTTGCTCAAGAAGGTGCACCAGCAAGGAGGTCTGGTTTAGACTCACAGGCATGTCCTGTGTTAACAATGGGACAAAATGTTGTCACCTACAAAGTTCACTTTGAAACCATACATATAGAGAAGGTGCAAAAAAAAAAAATTAAAATGTCTTGACTGTTTACGGTATTGTGTTGAGTTTCATGTGTAGCTAGCTGTTCTTACACAGTGGGTGCAAGGTCTAGGCTGTGACATGGACACCCCTGGGAGCGAGCTGAGGCATGCCACCCCTGGCAGGGACGGGGTGATGCTAGCTGTGGTCTCTGCCCCATGCCTCACCCCCTGTGCTATTGCATCTCTGGTCCAGGAGATGCAACCTAAGGGCATCCCCTCCAAGCCTCAAGTTGCTTCTCTTTTCCTGGTCCAGGAGATGCAACCTAAGGGCATCCCCTCCAAGCCTCAAGTTGCTTCTCTTTTCCTTCTTCTGTGCTCACAAAATACCATGCTCACTTTCCTGCCCCTGAAGGGACCCCATGACTGCGAAGAGCATAACCTGCGCCCGTGTTCCCTGGACATGAGGAAGGACTCCACACAGGGTGGGAGACTCAGGGTGGGACACTGCCCTGGGCTCTCTGCGGCGTCTGGCTAGGACCTGGCCTCACTCTCTTCTCTTGGCAGGACTGGATTATTGCACCTGAAGGCTATGCTGCTTACTACTGTGAAGGGGAGTGTGCCTTCCCTCTGAACTCCTACATGAATGCCACTAACCATGCCATCGTCCAGACACTGGTGGGTGCCTCCTGGGGGCGGAGTGGGGGTGGCCTATGGAGAGTGTGAGTGAGTGGCGTCTACTACCTTTACCTAGAACCTGAGCAACTGTCTGTCCCAGTGTGTCATGACTCTTATGGGTACCTGCTGTATGAAAGATTGGAAAAAATGCTTTAGGCATATAGTGGGATAAAGATGAAGAATATATATATATATATATATATATATATATATATATATATATATATCCCTGCCTCAGACTCTGAGAAGCTGGAATTATAGGCCTGCTCCCCAAACCAGGCAGCAAGGGTTATCTTCCTTTCTTTGTTTTTCGCCCCCAGAGACAGGATTTCTCTGTGTAGCCCTTGCTGTCCTGGAACTCACTCTGTAGACCAGACTGGCCTGGAACTCAGAGATCTACCTGCCTCTGCCTCCGAAGTGCTGAATTGAAGGTGTTCGCCGCCGCCACCCGGCTAGCAAGGGCTATCTTTAAGTACTGGTTTTCCAAAAATTTCCCTTCCCCCAAAACTGCATCTGTGATGGATTCTGCAGCCAGGGATGGAATGGACTGTCTGGGTCTGGTACTCTGCCAGTCCGGCTTATCCGGCCTGCTCTGAGCACCCAGACGGTGCTATGTCCCGTTGCTGCCTTCCGAGCTCTTCTTGGCACCCTTCACCACAGCGTTAGTGGCCCAGGGCACAGCTGCTCCTGTTAGCGTTTTACCTCAGGGTCCAGGGAAGTATCCAGTGCTGGAGGGAGGAGGCTTCTGTGGTCACACGGATCAGGGGTAAAACCCTCTTGGGGCATGTTAGCGAGATGCTGATAGTGGGAATGAGCTACACACCTAGGACTTTGCTAAACTTATTCAAAGAGGAGCAGGCTGGAGGGTGGAGCTGTGTAAGGATTTGGTACTGTCACCTCAGAGGTCACAGGCTGGTGGCCGCGTGCCGAGAGCCAAGCCAGCTGCTGAGATGTATTTGTTTGCCATTGCTGGTTTGCTCCATACCCAGAAGGTGCCCACTAATAACAAACCAGGAGCGGGGGTTGTGGCTCAGGCGGTAGACTGCTTGTCTGACATGCACAAAGCCCTCGGGTTCAGTCCGTAGCACTGAACAAACTGGGTGTGGTGTCATTTCAACCCTCAGGAGGAGGTGGGAGCTAGATGATCATCTTTGGCTACATAGCAAGTTCAAGGCCCGCCCTGGGATATAAGAGCCCCTATCTCACACAAAATGGTAATACATGAGGAGAACTGAATCTCTGGCCTGTCTTTAAGCACTGGGTTGGCCTGAAGGTGTGGACTGGCCATCTGGGCTGGGGTCAGCTTGGATGGATAGGGGCCTCTCCCTTCTGTCTGTAAGGCATTTGGATTCTCCCTTGTCTGGACCCCTGCTCTGTTGGGTGCAGAGGTATCTGTGAACAAAACAGCCCTGTCTTTACAATTGTGATGCTGGGGAATCGACCCCAGGACCTTGTGTGTGCTAGGCAAGCACTCTACCACTGAGCTCCCTTAAGACAGTGCCTTTTGAATGGCTGCAGGGAGGAGGCTCCACAGTCTTCAGTCTGGAGCCCAGCTGTCTCTTTCGCATCGCGTCTGTGCGCGTGCGTGAGCGGGAAGACTGTGCTGGCTGGTTCCCTCATCTACATAGTGGAGACGAGTCCTGAGCTGAGTTGGGTCACAAGACAGGCTCACCTGTCATTTATGGCCATCTCAGCCTGACAGTAGATGGTCTTTAGAGAACTCTGGAAGCCCGCAGGCGGCCTTGCTGCCTCTCACATGATTTATGTTGGTTGCTTCCAGGTTCACTTCATCAACCCGGACACGGTACCCAAGCCTTGCTGTGCACCCACACAGCTCAATGCCATATCTGTCCTCTACTTCGACGACAGCTCCAATGTCATCCTGAAGAAGTACAGAAACATGGTGGTCCGGGCCTGTGGCTGCCACTAGCCTCTTCGGAGAGCCGGACCCTTTGGGCCACATTGTTCCAGATCTGTGGTGTCTCACCATCTAGTCTCTCACTCCCATCTTGGCTGAGGAGCGAACAGACCAGTCACCTTTCCTGAGCCTTCCCCTCACCTCCCCAACTGGAAATACGTAAGGCATTAGAAGCCCGAGTGCCCAATGGCTGGCAAGCAGGCTGTAATTCTGGCGCACATGGACAAGATCCTACAAGCTGCCACAGACAACATGTAGCACGAAAAATATCTTCCCAGAGAGAGTCTGTTGGCCACATGGTCTCTGTGGTGCTCTGAGTCCTTGAGGGGTAATCACAAGTGTCCTTCAGCCAGGCCATCAGCTACAGCAGGAGGAAGGGCGTAGGCAGGGTGGGTGCTTATGTCTGTGTTGAAGGAAGACCAAGCAGAAGTCCCTGTAATAAAATGTCACAATAAAACCCGTGAATGAAAATGGTTAGGATGTTATAGATATATTTTCCTAAACAATTTATCCCCGTCCCTTGGTTTATTCTGACTTCATAAACAGAAGCTGGGGCCCGTGGAGGCTGGGGAGGCCCCCTCCTTTCCATTTGGTTTCCTTCTGAGGCCGCAGGGTCCAATGTTTACCCAGAACTGCCCAAATCCACTGCGCAGGGAGGGGAAAGAGGGATGTCTGCTTAGAAAAGGCCCGGGGGGGGGGCCTCAAAGGAGGTATGTTTGGGTGGAGAAGGAGGGAGGCGTGCACAACATACGAAACATATACACACACCCATGCACACACATGTGAAACCCACACACACACACACACATGCACACACATGTGAAACACACAGACTTTGGAATGGCTCTGCCAGCCCCTCGGTCCCAATTCCTGCCCCGTGCTAGGAAATAATGAGACAGACACAGAGGGCAGGACCGAGCTTGCACTCCAGCCCCAGATGAGGCAGCACAGGGGTGCCCAAAGCCCGAGGGTGTCCTCTAAGTGTCCTCTCAGTAAGACTTCTCTGGCCCAACTCCAGAGCCAGGTCCTGCCCTTTACCGCTGGCTCGCCTCACTCTCAACCCCTATCGGCAGGCCCTGGACCAAATTGGTTCCTCAACTTGAGGGAGCCTGGGTACAGGGATGTACTAGACTTAGATGGACTTACAGAGTAGTTTCCTAACCACACTTCCCTGCCTCAGAGGGGCCGTTTCTGTCATGGCTCAAGCAAGCCCACTGTGCCTGGGTCTGTGGTGCCCAAACTGTCATGCACCAGGTCCTGGCTTCAGATGCAAAGCTGTGTTGAAGGCTGGACTGTCTGCCAGTGTTTCCTGCATCCGCACGAAGGATGGGGTTGGCCAGGTGGGACCCATGCCCTGTAGTATCTGGTCACGTGGGGAGCCGGTTCTCCATGTCCGTGATCCTGGAAACACTGGGCTGTGCTTCTGTTATTATTTTTACTTTTTCTTCCTCAGTAGCTTGGGCTGCAGCCTCCACTAATGAGCGGAGGGAGCGCATTTCGTCTTGTAATTTGTTCTGTGTGTTGGCAGACCAGGGGCTTTTTGTGTGACTCCCTCTCCCTCTTGGTACACATTTTACTACTCATGGCCCTAGTCCGCCTGCAGTCAGTGTCTTTTGTACATTTAAATGTGTAAATAATTGTGACAAGACAAAGAAATTATTTATTTCCATCTGAAGTTCCTTTCAAGGGCTCCTCGTGGAGAACAACGGGGTCGCCTCCCTTCAATCTGTTTGTTTTCTTATTTAAGACTATTTATTAACAGTCGGATCGATGTACCCATAGCTGTCACATAAAGTGGTCCTTAGTGAAAAATCTGTATAAATAGAGTAAAAAGGGGTTTGACTTTGCAATAAAAGGAGACATTTGGTTCTGGTTGTCAGGTCCATGTGTGTGTTTGTGTCTTCCCCCTCACTCTAGTCCTGGACATTGGAGTTTTCATCCGCTGAGAACCGGCGACCTTGATCTCTACCATTAACGGGATGTTTATCATCCGGGCCCAGGGGGATGTGGGTGCTCGTCAATATTTGGTGCAGCTGTGTGGGGCTCCAGGCAAGGAGGGACAAAGCTGAACAACAAATGTGAATTTGGTAGGCTGGATGGCAAAGATCCTTGATTGAATTACAGCCCAGCCGTCAGCAGCTGCTTCAAAGAGGTAGGGGGTAAATTAGCTGTGTTTACTGCTAACATAGTCAAGGACTTAGTCATCCCAATAAAATGGAGGCACAAGAGAGAAAAGGGGGGTGTATACCCCAGCTTGAAAGCAGCCTTGGCCTCACAGCTGGCGTCATTCAGTGCCAGTCACCCGGACAGTTGGGGGCTGCCCTTGCAGGCCAGCTGTGGAGGTAGGCGGCCCCCACAGGCCTGGATAAGGGTGTGGGCCCCACCAAGCTTGCAGCCCCTCTCATCTGGCTCCATCTGCCTTTGAAGTGTACACGAAGGTCACCTGATGGATGTTTCTAGAATCCCAGCTGATACTTGGACAGGCTGCTCTGTCTTCCCCTGTTGACTCAGACCCAGCAACCACTCCTAACACATTCCAGTTCCTGCAATTTCTAAACCCCTGCTGTCACTGTCCTGACAATTTAGCTTTTGTTCTGTTTTCCAGGCTGAAGACTAGAGCCACAAACCGGAGGTCCAGATGTGGCCTCCCAGATGTGCCTTATCCTCTCAACCCCACCCCCAGGGGTGTTTACACGTTTTTAAAAACACAAATTCATTGCCAAGTATGTTTTTGCAAATCAGAAGTCCGGGTTTCCCTTAAGCAGTCAGCAGAATGGGCCACCTGGCTCCTTCCCGAGTGCTCTCCTAGCTGAACAGAGATGTCAGTGCCCCAGCCACCACCACACTCCCTTGCTTCTCCCACAAAGGGCGAGGTCAGTTGACATTTCAAAAATGGCAGATGAACATGTATCTGTGCCCAAGTCCCAGAAGACCTAGGAAAATAAAGCGACACTAGGAGATGCGTGAGCTTCAGGACAGCGAGTGGCTTTTACGTTGGTCTTAAGCTAGCCTATCCCCACAGCTCTTGGCAGGCCCTGTGACCATGTGTGGTAGACCACATATACTTATCTCCTATCCCTTTTCCCCTCTCTTGGGGCCAATAGGTGACAGGCCATGCTTAATGTCCTACAGCTAACCATTCCTGAAACTCAGTTTCCCCAGAGTTGGAATTTCCTAGGGCTTTTTAGGAAATAGGGATTACTGACTCCCAGCGTTTAGTCCTGGGCACCCTTTGAATCCAGGCTGAGTTTCTGAACGGCATGCTCAGCCTGGAGGCTCTTCCAGACTGCTTGAGGGTCTGCGCCTCTTGACCTGGATTCTCCATGACTGCCGTCCTCAGCCACTGCGGCCCCTCCCTTTTCCTCCCAGAGCCTGGTGACCACTGTGGAAGCAGAGAAGTGTCCGTGCTATGAGTCTGGCTGTAGGAGGCTCTCACGGGACATTGGGGGACCTTCCAGAGGAGTCTCTCAAGGGCGCATTGTGCCCTTTGTGGAAGGTAAGTGTCAGAGTCTCCTGGGGCCGACACAGCTCACTTCTCTATACACTACTTAACAGCCTGGACCCTACTACCTTCAGGAGGTGCTCTCTTTAGGAACAATGTCCACCATATTAAAGGAGGGACCTGTCACTCAGATGGCAGAGTTCTTGCAAGCTTCTTGGAATGCTGCATCATTGCCCACATCTGGGACCAACACAGAGGCTGCACAGACATTAAAGTGTCAACAATAAGCACAATGCACAATTACAGGGCTGTACTAAATCCAGGGTTCCCACCAAGACCCCAGTTAGCTCTCTAGAATAGTCATTTGTCAATGACTTCGGAAGGTCACTCACTGCCCAGCTCCTTGATGTCTGGGAAGAGCATGGGATGGCCTGCTCCTGACTGCTCTGTTTGGAGGAGGCCTGCTCAGGACACAGGGAGTACTTTTGGCACTTGATCAAGCTCAGGACAAGCCCAAGAGCCGCATTGGATCCAGGCTTCAGTAGTGGAAACAGCATAGGCCCTAGTTGTCACGTGACTGGTAGTCTTCCCTGGATGGGGCCCTCCACAACTGTTCACACACAGGATCAATAAAATGATGCCCCCCGCGGGGCACTGTTGATGATGTCAGTGGAAAACACCTCCAGGGAGTATGTGCTGACAGCCTTGGCCAGGCCTAGTCTCTTCTAGGACTCAGCATTGTCAGGTCAGCTGGTCCCAACCCACACTTGGGGTGTTGAGTGTTTGCCCCTGCCAAAGACATGCGTGATGACCTCCTTAGACATTTCCGATTGGCCCGGGAGCCCCATTCTCCTGGCTCAGACCCTTCAGCACTCTGGCAATGGCCTCTCTTGGTTCCAGATTTGAGGAAATAAAAATAGAAGAGAAAAACACTCGGCTCTCCAAGGCTGTTTCGACAGCTGCTTGGATGGAGGCAGGGTGCACCTGGCCAGGACGGCCATGCTGTCCCTACTACATCAACTCTAATGCTCCCTGACTCCTACAGTCCTCTGCATTACCAGGACAAGGCCCTGACTCTGTGATCAGCTGAGATGACCATGGGGGCTGACTCACACCCAAAATCACCCACCTCAGGTCTGGCTCCACCCACCATCTGGCTAGGGCACAGGCTCCACCCTCCAAAGGGCCCTGAGTATAATTACCCATTTTGCTGTGTCTGGCTTGAATTGATTAATGTTTATGGACGAGTGCTCCATATTTTTATTTCGCCAGGGGCCCCACAGATCTTGTGCCCAAGGGATAGAATGGGACATCCATCACATGTCATTCATCACCAAGGACACTTGGAGTCTGTGAGCCAGCCTTAGATGATGTCCTGGGCATAACAAACTGTGACTAGCAGGAGATGAGGCCTCATTTGCAGGTGACCGTACAGAGAACAATACACCATCAAGGAAAATGTCAGACACCAGCAAACCCTTACAGGAGTATACCCCGGGGCCCTACGAGGAGGAAAGATCTACTCAAGCGAAGGTCTTTGGAGGTGGTGGAAGGAAGTGGGCAGGGGTTGATGTAAAAAGCAAGGTCAGGGAAAAGAGTCGGGGTGGTTTTTGATGAGGTTGGCTCAGTTGCTTAACAC